AAAACTAGCGTCAGAACTGGAGTTTGTAAGAGACTTCTTTTGTGTTTGCAATTTGGGAACCACGGAGATGCCACAGTAAACCGCACAAATAAGAAAGGATTAGTTTAACTGGAGGAGACATTGTCTTCGAGCTAAGGATTTTCAAGAGATGGAAGGAGACTTACTATTGCTACTCACCTCGCCCATTTGTGGGATCAGGTCCCCTCCTGATCGTTTAGACTTCAGCTCCCATCCAATGCAGCCAGCAGGGCCTGTAGCAAATATTTATGGGGTTTATGTTCCCCCCCCCATCCTTTCCACTTATATCAATATTCACTGCCCTGCCTCTCTCTCACCCAGTTCAGTCTCTGTTTTCTATCCTTGGACCTCTGCCAGGGATCAAACATGGAAGGCTTTATATTTCCACTGGAAAAGTTGCCAGCACTGCCACCGACCTTTCTCAGACCATCCGGGTAATACATGGCTTGCCTCCAGTCCTTTAAATGTCAGTTTGAATTACTCTGCTCTGATTGTGTGCACCGGGTGGAGATCGGAGGCTGAGTGGATCATCAATCTCACAGCGCTCAAAGAATAAATAAACGGCCACGTCTTTTTCTCCTTTGAGCTGTGAGCCAGAGTCGCCAAAATAAGATAGGTCTGGAATTGTCCCACCCAGTGGGGCAGGCATCAGGGATGCAGCTGCTTTCAAACTCTCTTACCTTTATTGGAATCCGAGATGAAGGAAACTGCTCCACTAATAATGACCCTGAGAACAAAAGAGGAGGACCACCTATTCTGCACCAACCAATCTGTCTCCTTTGAGCATCAACTGTGCAGGTAGTCCTCGACTTACCATCGCAATTGAGTCTGTTGCTGTGCAAGACAGTTGCTAAGTAAGTTTTGCCCCCTTCTATGACCTTTCTTGTCACAGTTGTTACGCAAACACTGCCATTTTTAAGTGAGGGTTGAAAGAAAAATCTTCATCAGGGTCCAGTCCAAGCTGGGAATAAACAAAATGGAGACTGCTTTAGAAAGAAGGTTGCAGTTTATTGAAGAGCAGAGCCAGACAGAAGCGTGGCTGAAGTTTTGTGTTTGCTATTTATTTCAAACGAAGCAATGGAATATCAAAACAAAAACAAACAAAAAAAACCCAGGAAGGACAAGGTACTGAGTTGAGGACGTTCAAATCAGCTTCTGTTTAGAAAGATTTAGGATTGCAAGGAAGTTTTATGTCTGCAAGACAGATTTGCGTCTGCAAGCATCACGCTGGGGACATGGAGCATAAGACACAGCCAGTGACAATGAAAAAGCATTTCAGTCTCCAGTGTGACATCAATGAGTTGTCTGCGGTCTTAGCCAGCCATCTATCATCCTGGCCAAGAGATCTGGGCTAGCAGATGCAGGCAGACAGCAGAATTTGTCCTTTGATCACCCAAACTCAGACTCTGTTTTCAGCCAGAAAAGGCTGTAAGCAACAAATCAATCAGCTGAGGGGGGGAAAAGGAGGGGGGACAGAACAGCAGCCTAGAAAGAAACCTAAAACCAAAGAGAACAAACACAGCAAGTTAAAAATAACTTCATCTTTTAACAAGCTAAACCACCAGCTAAGTTAGACAGATGTATCCTTCCTAGGGTATTTTAGACAGACAGACAAGCAAGCAAGCCCTGGTGGTGCAGTGGTTAGTATTGCAGGCTACTTTCTGTTGACTGCCGGCTAACTGCAGTTGGGCAGTTCGAATCTCACCTGCTCAAGGTTGATTCAGAATATCCATCCTTCCGAGGTCGGTAAAATGAGGACCCAGATTGTTAGGGGCCATATACTGACTCTGTAAACCACTTAGACAATGCAGTAAAACACTGCGAAGCGGTATATAAGTCTAAGTGCTATTGGTTTTGCTATCTGTCTCTGTGTTAAAAGCTCTAAATTAGTAAGAGAGTTGCATTTAATTCCTTTACTGATCCTGGATTACATTTATTGTCATCATTGTCAGAGGAGAATTCCCTGTTCGCCTATACACACATACATATACATATTTAGAAAAACATTAGGAATGAAAAATACATCTATCTGTCTATCAATCTTACTATTGTTCTCTCTCTCTCTCTCTCTCTCTCTCTCTCTCAGAAAAAAGGCTGCACATTATTCTACCAAATGGAAAGATTTATTTCTCCCCAAAACTTTCTTTAGAGATAAAATAGACTAGGAAATCATGATGACTCATAAGCACATAATTTTTATTGATCTGCAGTTTCAGTAGGAGTCAAGTACATTTTGAGAGAAAAATTGTCCCTTTATGGGTCTGCAGGGAGAGATTGCAATTCATAAAATGAACCATCAGGCTTTTTTTTTTTAAACTAAAAATCCTTCTTGTTCTATGACAAGTGCAATTATCAAGCTGCGCACACTAAAAAGGAAAGACTTTTCAAATGCATGAGAGAAAACCAGAAATGTTTTGCTAAGAACATACAGTCACTGTATAGTGACTGGCTTACAACCACAACTGAGCCCAACATTTCTGTTGCTAAGTGAGATAGTTGTTAAGTGAGTTTTGCCCAATTGAATAGCAATAGCACTTACACTTACATATTATTATTATTATTATTATTATTATTATTATTATTATTATTATTATTATTATTATTATTATTATTA